CAACGTCCTCTGGATACCCGCTCATCTGGTATTCCCTCTCTCCATTCTATCCTTTCACATCTTTCTCTCAACATTTTCCTTCTCTTCAACTTCCTTCTCCACTCCTTTGCCTTTGTTTCACCCAAACAAGAAGGTTTAGGAGTTATCTCCCTCCTTCTCCAGTAATCCGCTTCTTCTTTAGGGATCCGGAGTTTCTCCCACTTGCAGGCCCATGGATCCTGCTTCCATATCCATCCCCAACCTGGCGGCAATTCTACCTCACCCCCCTTTATATCGGCCAAACCTGCTTCCACTTCCACCCTCGGCTTCTGCTCTTTTCCCACCAAATCCTTCCCTGTTTCTTTGACTGTTAATTTTTGTAATTCCTCCTCTATTCTCCCCGGGTTTGTTTCTGATGGTCCTGTCCTCCTCCTGGGAGGAGAAACGGGCATGGTTTGAATCTCCTTCTCAGCAGTTAGCGGGCGGGATGGCACTCCAGTGAGAGTGGCCTTACTCTCACCTCTGCTGCTACAATCAGCCTCTTGTCGAACTGGTTGGGGGGTGCATGTGTGGAGAATGTGGGTGACCAATGGGGAACGTGGGAGTCACGGACGTGCTGTACAGAAGATGGGACACCTCCCCAGGTTGCCACAGGTGCTGTCATAGTTCCTGGGATGTAGCAAATCAAGCCTCAGCCACAAACAGACACAAATATTTGTGGGTCAAAGGAAATGCATGGAGAAATGCAACAGGCTTACTTTGCCCGAATGTGGGAGTGCACCCCATGAGTGAGCATGAATGACTAAAGAGGGGGGGAAACTAGGTGTCCATAGCACATTAGTCTGGTAGCAAGAGAGTGGTCTTCTCAAAGTCCCAGCCCACCCAGGAGGCATCTGTTGTATCTCAATCAGATCCCTGATGGGATGCCTGACTTTCCCAGGAGTCCTCCAGAGATTTATCCACCTTCTGGACAAAGATCAGAAGCCTATAGTTCATCATAGCCAACGTTACATCCAAGTCAAGGTGTAATCCCAATGGAAGTAGACAAACATTGACAAGTATTTCCAAACTCCTCTGGGTATCTAGGTACAAATCTTTTCATTGTTGCAATAATTCCAGGCAACTCCATAGCTTGATTATTATCTGAAGCTTCATTTCCTCATTTTTTCTAGGTTACATAAGATAAAATGATTTCATAAAACAGTTGCAAGAAATACTGTAAAATTCAAATTCTTACAGTAAGGTGAACTGTAGGCACATAGCTTAAAAAGGCAGGCTGACAGAATCCATTCCATACTCACGATCCCATCTCGTAAGGGGTATATATGCAAGCAAGATTTCTGTGGTTTATATCTAACTTAGTGTGGTTTGCCGGGTAGGTGGGGCTCGTCAGCCCTGGAAGGCAGCCCATCTAGGAGAAGGACCACTCCGAATTTAAACCTCCACTGCCTTGTGGCTATATCCACTTATGGAAAGGGCTTCAGGAGATAACCTCGAGGCAAAATCCGGAGCCAGAGTCCCGGAGGCATTTTCTTTCATTCTGCCAACTCCTGCGACGTTGCTGGAACCAGATGTATTGGCTCTTGCCTTTCCACTGGACCATTTCAGCGATGTGGAGAGGGGGGATTTGCTGCTTGGGTAACAGCCTATCCTCCATACTATTTTACCCAGGCTTCATGCTCTGGAGAGGACACTCCAGCTTCGCATACAGCGTCGAAACAACACGGGAAGTAGCAGTTACCGGTTATAAGTCTCTGTTCAATTGGCGTAGAGCAGGACGCCAGGGGCTACTTCTGACGGTGGGAGAGGTCATTGCACCTCACTAGGTAGATACCGCCCGCCTTAAGCTGGGCAACCCCCAGCCAGTAAGGTGCTACCTCGCCACGGTCTGTTAACCTCACGGGGTGCGTGGGGTTTAGGGTGAAACCCGACAAGCAGATCGACAACCGTGCACCATGCAACAATCATAAGAAAACTTCTGCCCTAAAGCTGGGCACCTGGAATGTACGGACAATGACCCCTGGCTTTCCTGACTACGGCTTTCCTAACGACCTGCAAGAAACAGACGATGTGCGCAAGACAGCTGTCATTGACATGGAACTGAGTAGACTGCAGATGGACATTGTTGCCCTGCAAGAGACAAGACTGCCAGACTCGGGATCTGTCAAAGAAAAAAACTTCTCATTCTTCTGGCAGGGAAAACCATCGAATGAGACCAGGGAATATGGTGTTGGCTTTGCAGTCAGAAACACTCTCCTGAGATGCATTGTTCCACCCACTGTGGGGAGTGAAAGAATCCTGTCTCTGCAGCTCCACTCATCAGCAGGACCAGTAACCCTCATTAGTGCATATGCACCAACACTGTCATCCACTCCAGAAGTGAAAGACAAATTCTACGACGATCTGGCAGCTACTATCAAAAAAGTCCCTGAAAGAGAGTCACTGTTCATTCTTGGAGACTTTAATGCTAGAGTTGGTGCTGATCACAATTCTTGGCCCACTTGTCTAGGCCGTTTTGCCACTGTTCCACATTGACAAGAGCTGTATTTATTAGGATGATTATGATTATTATGACTATTATTGTTGTTGTTGTTTTGCTCTATTTATTTATTTATTTATTTATTTATTATCCCACCCATTTAGACCAAAGTCTACTCTGAGTGGCTAACAACAATATTAAAATAAAATAAAAGAACAATATTAATACAGGATGGCAAAATAAGTTAGATATCGGCAGGAGGGAAGGCCTGTCTGAAAAGCCAGGTCTTAAGTTGGCTCTTAAAAACGCACAGTGAGGGAGCCAGACAAATTTCTGGGGGAAGATTGTTCCAGAGCCAAGGGGCCACTGCCGAGAAGGCCCACTTTCTTGTTCTTTCTCTTCGGGCCTCCCTTGACATTAGGCCCCTCAGCCGCCCCTCCTGGCTAGAGCAACTGATGTGGGTAGATCTAGGTGGGAGAAGGCGTTCTGCCAGATATTGAGGTCTTAAACCATTTAGGGCTTTATACATCATTAGTACTTTGAAATCAATGTGGAAATGAACAGGTAGCGAATGCAGAATCTGCCAAAGATGAAAGTAGGCGTTGCGGACTACAGATGCTACCTGAGTTTCCATGGGAAGTTCTGGATCAAGATGTACCCCCAAGCTGCGAACCTCAGTCTTTTTGATGAAAGTAACCCCCCCCCCCAAAAGAGAGGGAGTTTCCTAATCCACCAATGTTTGGGCCACCCACCCTCAGGACCTCCGTCTTGTCTGGGTTCAGCTCAGACCATTCACCTGCATCTATCCCAGTACGGCATTCAGACAGTGCTGAAGGGATGGAACGGCATCGACTGTTGTTGGAAAAAAAGAGATGTAGAGCTCGGTGTCATCAGCATACTGATGACACGAAGCCCCAAGCCCCCTGATAACCTGATCCAGTGGCCTCATGTAGATATTAAACAGCATTTGGGAGATAACTGAGCCCTGCAGAGCCCCACAATTGAGATTCCACGGAGCCGATACACTGTCCCCAAGCTGTACTCTCTGGGGGCGGTCCTCCAAGAAGGATCAGAGCCAGGCAAATGCCAGACCACCAATTCTCAGCTCAGAGAGCCTCCCCAGGAAGATACCACGGTTGACGGTATCGAAGGCAGCTGAGATATCAAGAACGACCAACATAGACATTTTGCCACTGTCGGCCTCCCTCAGGAGGTCACCAAACAGGGCAACCAATGCTGTTTCTGATCCAGGGCGTTGGTTTCATTCAGAAGGGCCTGAAGCTGGTCAGCCACCACCCTCTCTACCACTTTACTAAGGAAAGAAACATTGGCAATGGGCCTATAATTGCCAATATCGTCCACTGCCAAATTTGGTTTCTTCCTAATGGGCCTAAGGAGTGGACTCATTAATTATTGCAGTGGCCCATTCGGTTGTTGTAGGCCTGGCTGCTTTGATTAGCTAAGCCAGGCAAGTATCAAGTGAGGAGGTGGTGGCATGACAGTGGTCAAGCACCTTGTCCACCATATCTGGTGTCACAGGCTGAAAGAGATCAAGTCTCATCAGACAATGTGTTCAAAAAAGGAGAGAGCTCCAGGCAGATGGCCTCCACTTTAGATTTTAAAAATGCTGCAAATTGGTCAGGTGAAATATTAGCAGGAGACCTATCACTTAGACCAATTCTGGATAGGTTGCAGACTATACAGAAAAGTTCCACCTGCTGATTTGAAGCTTCACTTATCAAGCAGCCCTCACGTTAGTAAGGTGTTGTGATCACCAAACACAGAACGTAATTAACTTTAGAGAGAAGCTAGTGCAGTCAACACATGGAGATGTCCGCCAGCAGAGTTTCAGTCCCACCCCGAGAGCTCCCTTTATTAACCTTACAGATTGTTGATAGCATTCAGATAGGATACTGGTTACATAATGCAAATTAGGATTGGTCGAAGGAAAGGCTTTTGAAGTTAGCGCCCTGTCTCTACAGGAAAGAAGAAGAATGGGCAGACACTTCCCCCCCCCCAGGAGCTGCTACCCTCTTAGGAGGGTGTGCCCTCAACTACAACAGGAATGCAGCCAGCAGCCCTGTCTACAGCCAAAAGCATCTACAACGAGGACACGGATATTAAAACTGAACCCTGGGGGAATGGAAGAAGGTTGACTGGTGTGATGAAACACCTTGTCTTAGAGATCATGTTACATGCCGCAAGCCATAGAGACTGGTTCACCACTAGAAAAATAAATGTCCTAGAAGAACACAGAAGAGCAAGAGCCAGTCTTATCCTGAAATAAGGAGGAAAGAAAAGAAGATGGAGAGACTCCTGAGAGTTAGCCATGTAGCAACATGCATACTGGGAATAGAGATTGTAACGTCAAAACGACAGACAGCCCCTCCCCCCGGCTCCTCTATTCCCCCATTCACTTCTAGTCATTTGAGTAGGACGGGTGCTGGGTTGTGATGCTTGCAGGAAGGCAGGCTGACAGAATCCATTCCATACTCACGATCCCATCTCGTAAGGGGTATATATGCAAGCAAGATTTCTGTGATTCATATCTAACTTAGTGTGGTTTGGGGTTCCAGGCCTGCCACGAATGATCCGCTGCAATCCCATCACAGCCTCACATTAAGTAAGAGCATTCGTTTGGAAAGTGCTCGAGGCCCCTCTTTCATTTTCTTCTTTTCCAAATAAGCAGTCATTTCTCATCTTTTCTGCCGCAAGTCCAATCAAACCTTTCAGAGACAGATAAGGTTTAGATCATTCTCTTCAACCAATTTCTGCTTCTCAGCTTTACTACTCCCTGTTGTCTACTTATCAATGAGGTAGGTGATTCACCCATTCACAGTTCAAAATCCTGTTACGTAGCTAGGTGTTCAGAACCTGGAGTTGAAGTGAGAGCTGAACTGAAATAAAAGTAGTATCCAGGAAGCAATTCCATTTGCACAGAAGCAAATTCAGTGGTGTGTTTGTTGTGCACTTTTTGTGCAATTCACTGAGCAATTAAATTTTACAAGTTCATTGAAGAACTGGTTGCGCAATGAGATTGCTTGGGCATGACGCTACACTGAATTAAACTGTGTCCAACAAGAATTTCATCATTTGTTTCATTATCTTTTTTAAAAATATCTAAATTAGATTTTAAGAAAGATTGCCTCTTTCTTTTTTCCCAAAAAACATTTTGTGCCAGAAAATATTACCTCTCAAACAGAAGACCTCATGTTTCCCATCTAGATTAAAAGACTGGCTTCCCCTCAGAGAGGAAAGGGAAGATGACAACAGAGTTCTTCCAGGAAATGTCTACCCAGTCTCATAAATCAATTGAGATACTCTCTCATGTTATTCCTTTGGATATAAAAGACATTTTTCCTTTACCCAGTGCCTCCCCACATTCCAAAATTTTCAGTAATAGCACCTTCCAAAGACTGAAAGAAACAGGTGCATTTCTCATGTTTAATAAGGTCTTTCTGCATATTCAGTCTTATTGATCAGTCCTACTGCACGTTTAAAGCAGCTTGCATTTTTTTAGCCCCTGGTCTCTTCTCTCAAGTGAAGCAAAGTGATTTCTGCTGATGAAGGGCTTATGGTTTTTCCCCTGTATGAGTTTTTTGATGTGAATTAAGGCTACCACTGTACATGAAGCTCTTTCCACATTCCATGCATTTGTAAGGTTTTTCCCCTCTGTGAGTTTTTTTATGTGAACTGAGGTAACTGGTGTGACTGAAGCACTTCATGCATTCCATGCATTTACAGTGGTGCCTCGCATAGCGAGGTTAATCCGTTCCGGATTAACCTTCGCTATGCTGAAGCATCGCGGAACGAGGCAGGGATTTCCATTGGAACGCATTAAACATCGTTTAATGCGTTCCAAATGGGCCAAATACTCACCGTTCAGCGAAGCTTCAGGATGGCCGGCAGCCATTTTCGCGCCCTCGCCTCGCTTAACGAGGACGCAAAAATGCTGCGCACGGCCATTTTGGGCCATTTCCCAGCTTCTGGCGGCCATTTTGGCCGCCGAACAGCTGATCGTCGGGGGTCGTTTTGCGAAGATCAGTAAGCGAAACGCTTACCGGTCTTCGCAAAGCGAATTTTTCCCGATTAAAAAAACGTTGAGCGATCGCATTAGCGATCCGAAAAAACGGATCGCTATGCGATTTCGTTATACGGTGCGCTCGTTAAGCGAGGCACCACTGTATATGGTTTTTCCCCTGTGTGAGTTTTTTGATGTGCATTAAGACTACCACTGTACATGAAACTCTTTCCACATTCCATGCATTTATATGGTTTCTCCCCTGTGTGTGTTCTTTTATGTGAATTGAGGGCACTGCTGCCACTGAAGCTCTTTCCACATTCCATGCCTTTATATGGTTTCTCCCCTGTGTGAGTATATTTGTGTGAACTGAGGGTACAGCTGTGACTGAAGCATTTTCCACACTCTGTGCATTTATAGGGTTTCTCCCCTGTATGTGTTCCTTTATGAATATTGAGGATTCCACTTTTCCTAAAGCTCTTTCCACATTCTGTGCATTTATATGGTTTCTTATATGTGTGTAATATCATATGTGAACTAAGGTTACCACTTTCACTGAAGCTCTTTCCACATTCCATGCATTTATATGGTTTCTCACCTGTGTGAATTCTGTGATGGGAATTAAGGTGAGAACTCTGACTGAATCTCTTTCCACATTCCATGCATTTATATGGTTTGTCCCCTGTGTGAGTTTTTTGATGTGACCTAAGGTGACTACTCTTAAACCTCAGACTCTGGAGAAGCTGGAAATTTCCTTTTCCCTCTTCTGGTCTCTCTTCCCCTCTGACTTTTTTCTCTGTTTCAGTATCTCATATCTTTTCTTTCCTTTCTTACTGTTTGGTTCTTTTCGGTGACAGAAGAGGCGGCCGCATAGAACATTCCTTCTCTCCTTTGTCTCTCCGACAGAAGCTCCTTCCACATTCTGTGCATCCATATGGTTTCTCTCCAGTGTGCGTTCTTTGATGTGAGCTTAGGTGACCACTTTGAGTAAAGCTCTTTCCACATTCCGTGCACTTGTGTGGTTTCTCTCCTGTGTGGATTAGTTGATGTATACCAAGACTACTGCTGCAACTGAAGCTCTTTCCACATTCCATGCATCGATATGGCTTCTCTCCTCTAATTTTTTTTTCATGTGAAATATATTCACTATACTGTCTCCATGTTCCATGCATTCAATTGTTTTTATTTTCTTGGTGAACTCTCCATGTCCATTGGCATTTTAGGTACAGTTCAATGTTTTTCTGCAGATGGGACCCTTTCTCTTTTCTTGTTTTTCATGGCTTTTTCATACTGTCAGGAGATCTTAAACCTCAGATTGTGGAGAAGCTGGAAATTTCCTTTTCCCTCTTGTTTTATCTCTTCCCCTCTGACTTTTTTTCTGTTTCAGTATCTCATATATTCCTTTCTTACTGTTTGGTTCTTTTCAGTGACAGAAGAAGCGGCCACATAGAACATTCCTTCTCTCCTTTGTTACCTGATGGACAGAAAAAAAGATGGGGATGATGATGATGATGATGATGATGATTATTATTATTATTATTTATTTTATTTATATCCCGCCTATCTGGTCAGTTAAGACCACTCTTACAGTACAGTACAGAAAGGAATCTCATTTGGCATAAAGTAAAGGTATTGGCTTTCTCTTTGTCAGGAGGAAGTGAGTGTCACGTCACATTCCCACCTATCCCTCGGTTGTTTCACCAAGAAAAGGGCACAAGCTATGCATCGCATCGCTGCCACCAGTTGATTACATC